TGACGGTAACCAGTCGCCGTCTAGTCGTCTCCAGTTTCCCTGAGTCGGACATGTGCTACTCCTACGACTGGAGACGACTAGTTGTCCCTAGTCGCAAGCGCAATGAACGCAAATACGACTGGCTTGAGTCGGCGCCTCGCTGACGTAGCCTATAAGATTCGATTATTTAGTCACATGGTACCTAGGGGGCGGTAATAACCATGGAGGAACAAGTGGAATGAGGCTATTTTGAAGGTTATCACGTGTCAGTCATGTTATCAGTTGTGGATCCGATTCTTCAGCTGCCGGCGGGTGACATGAGCGCGCTTACGACTATGATCAACTGGTTGCTCGTGATTGTGTCCAGTCGTGGATAAATTCGGTCGTAGCGACATAAGCTGTCAGTTGCCGTTAGTCGCCGTCTGTTTTATCGCGTCGTAGGGCGACATACCTAGACTTAAAGGATAATATTGGTGCCAGTCATTATCACATGTGATAGAGCTGGTTAAACACATTCCAAATATAATTTTAACACAGAGATCATTGCTACGATAGCTAAGTAATACAGGTTTCGTGAATCGGAAGTGACGAACGCCAAAGGAAAACACGAGTCATCTCTCTATATAACTGACTGATGTGACGAGCGATAACGGATATACGGGCGAATTTCTGCTCACTAATAATATCTGATAATGACTGTCACCAATATTGTCCTTTAATGCCACGATTTGTGTCTAAATCTTACCAACCATCCACACTGTATTTGACATGTATTAATTTATATCGATTTTTTTCCAGGTTTTACAGTTTTATTAGTGACGTTTTCTGTGACATCATTGCTGTGTGGCTCATGGATATTTAGTGACGTATTATGTCGCGTGCAAGGTTACTTAGTGATAGTGATGATGACAACTATTCAAGGATCTTCAATGATAATAGCTTTGGATAGAAAATTCGCCATCAATAATTCGTTGAGGTACGCTGAAATATTCAACCAGTCACTGGCAGCGGTTATGATAGGTTTAACCTGGGCTATTGGTCTACTGTTGGGTTTTCCCGCGCTGATCGGTTGGTCATCTTACGAATATAACGAAGCGTTGTACATGTGTACACCCCGGTTTAGTAAAGATTTGGGCTATTCCGTTTTGTTTTTATTGTTTGTGTTCGTTATCCCGTTCGTAGTTAAATGTGTCTGTTATGCCTGTGTGTTTGTAGCTGCGTTAAGTCACACGAAAAGATCCGTTAAAATTTGGCCGGTTCAGCAATCGACGACATCAACGGTTGTCAAAACAAACAATTCCCGTCATCAAGAAAGTGGAAATAACGACACGAGTAGCAGTGAATGGGAGAGCGGTGTCATCCCTGTCGACAATTCATCTCACCAGTCCACATACCCGCGTCAGAGAAACATTACTCGTTTTAAAACTGCAAAAACACTTTTATTGGTCTGTCTCGGATACGTCACTTCCTGGCTGCCCCTTTTTGTGATTGTTGTCAAGCAAACTGCCAACATGTCTGTCTCTGCCTCGTTTAGTAAATTCACAATGGCGATGTTGATGACGTCAGCGGTTTTTATGCAAATTGTTTACGTCATCTTGAATAGAACAAGTCGAAAAGAGCTGTTGAAATGTTTACAAACGTGTTCGTCCAAGTTGTTCAAATCCAAAGATAGTTCGAATACAGATATTAAGATATCGGCTATTAGTTCCAACCCGTCCACAAGCACCAATTTAAACAATGGCGGCAGTAACAGCATTATTAAGGACAATCCAATGACGTCAGATGTGCTGCCGACCATAGAAGAGACTGAGTTAGAAATGTGTGGGGAGACATTGTTTCGAATCCACCCGTTTTCGTTCCGAAAACCTATCAAGCAGCCTCATCACTTAGCCCCAGAATCTAAAATAGAATCTTGTGATTTATGTTTTTTAAGAGGAAGCGAGAAGTTGCCGTCCATTCATGTCACAGTTGATCCCATAGAAAGTCATATTAGGAAAACAAGTCATGGCGACTTGAGAAGTATATCATTCCATCGAACTCGTTCATCCATTTATAACGGAAGTGACGCGTTATCATCTGTTCACTTGACACATGACCCTATTGAACCCCGATGTAGAAAAATTAGCCTAGGCGACTTACATAGTTGGAGAATCCACCCAAAACCCCATCCACCTTCGGATAAAGATTGTTTTGATAGTGAGAAAAATGGATTTCAAGTTGACCGACAAACTAAGAAAAATGCCAGAAAAACGTCCGGTCTACGACCTCATCCATTTTCTCCGTCGTTGAACAACTCTTTGTAATTAGACGGACAGCATGGCAGAATAATGCGCAGATATATCAACAAAAGAATCATATTGCCTACAGAGGATGCTGAATGTTGCGAAATTATCAATTCATCATATCTTTGGAAATACTGAATGAAAGTCAGCCATTGTGGAATGATATTCATTTTAAGCGGGGGATCACGTGGCTAAGTGGGTAAGACGCTGGCTCGCTAGCCTGGAGGTCAGGTGTTCGATCCCTGCATTGGCCGAGAAAGTTCATCCTGATTTTCCGGCGTGGTTTCTCCTTGTCAGTGATGCAGGACGGAGGGCCTGACAAGGACAGCTGTCTAGTCGTTCGGATGGGACGAAAAACCGAGGTCCCGTGTACATATTGGCGTGCACGTAAAAGATCCCTTGGCAGTTGGAATTCGATATAAGAGTAGGCCGTAGCGCCGCTGCCCGGGCAAAATTTCCCTCATAGCACACTGCATGGCGTATGCCCGTCTTCATTAGCCCAGTTTAGGAGCAGAACAGTAAGACGTTAAAGCCCATTTCATTTCATTTCAATTCGTAGCGTAGCTCACAGCCCGCAGTACGTGGGAAATTTTAGTAAACCGTAGTGCCACTGTGTGAGCAACCCTTTCTCTCACAGAACACTATATGGCATTATTATATGTCTGTCCCTATTAAGCAAGTCAGAACAGAACAGTACGACGTTAAAGCCTCATATTTAATTTTTCACGAATTCACGCACATTTAGCAAGATTCCCTCCACCTCCACTTGGCCGCCATCAAACCATCCGAAACTTCCCGTTGGGTTTCGTATTATGATGACCACTTTTTTTGATGTTCGTTGTTATTGACATTAAAATGGAATTGAATAAAATAAGATGTTTATTTCGTTTCGGATTTATACTGTGCTGTCCAATTACTTGCCAAACGGTGCTGGTCGGGGTGCCCTTGTGGTCGAAAGTAACGGGCGTCGAGCTCCAGCTGTCCGGTGGCCATGGGTTTAATCCCCGGTGCGAGAGGACACTGTAGTTTGGAAATGGGGCGCCTTTTAACATTATTCACTAAATGTATATATATTCACTATGTATATATGTTCACTAAATATATATATGCGTCACTGAATTTAATTCTTAGAAATCATTTTTAATACGACAAACGCCATGTGGGTGTTAAACTATATAAAAACATATTTCAATTTCAGTGAATTTAGACGAATATTCAGGAATTGTCTAATAGTTTGACGGCTCCCCGGCCCCGGCATTTTAAATTTTCCAGTTGGTCAAAAACTGATGCAACCATATAATCAATGGAATGCAGTGAGACCCAACGACAGTTGCTCTTGTGGAACAACCGTCAGAGTCGCAGTCTCCGACGAGCATTGTAAATTTCCCGCCAAGTACATGTTAAAATCATCAACAGGGTTTGAGGTCCGTGTTTGAAGGTGGGAGTGGGGGCAGGTAATTAGCAGTTAATCACGGGATTCTAGTAGGCGCTACGACGGGATGGCATCAACAATGGCCGTTGAATGGGCGATGTTTGGTCATATTTATAACTAAAATGGTGACCGATGGCCGCGTTAGAGGATTGACAGTTTATCAAAGAGATGAAACCAAAGAATTTATACGTTGGGGAAGTTATTGTGGCCGCTTACAAGGTGATGTTGCTGGGGTAGGAGTGGCTGCTTGCACAAAGTCTACTGTAGCTAGATAATACATTTTATGCAGGCACTATGTTGAGCTTTAGAGTATCGGTATTTTTTGTATTGCTTTATTTCATGTTAATTAAAGGTTATCCGATAAGTTAATGTTTTCATAATCAATATATTCCTTCATAATTTGTAATATTATTGTAATAAATTGTACGAGAGAGAGAGAGAGAGAGAGAGAGAGAGAGAGAGAGAAATGGGGTTTAACGTCCAGTCGACACAAACTAGATCATTTCGGGACTAACATATGGTTTAATTTTATTTCAATAATTCGCTTGCGCGTAGGGGTCTTTAGCAGTGAGAGGAAACCGGGGGACCCGGAGAAAACCCACGAGGTTGGACAGGCGACCCTACTCCTTGCCACGTACAACCGGGGATTCGAAACCACGCCAGTCGACTCAATGACAGACTTTATGTCTATAATGGTGATAGTCTATAATGTAGGCTGTAACATAATGTATTCTTTAAATACTTAAGCGGCCGTGCTACAAACTCTAAATTACGTCATCTCTATATGGACACAGCTCACCAAATATTTCTACGCCGTCACCCACGAATGTAGGGCGAAAGTTATTTTTAGTCTTTCTCTCCCTTTCCCTTTTTCCCCCTTTTGCATGGCGATTTTTGTTGACTTTTTGGTGTAGAATCGAAGAAAAGGGTTTGAAAATACATTTTCTACCAGGTTTTGGTGAATATTCATGATTTTGAGGCGGAAGGATACAAGAGTTGAGAGGTTGGTTAGGTTGAAATGTAGGGTCCAAAATTGCATGTTTTTTTGTCTCTACTTCCAGCTTGTGTATCTCAAGTTTTTCATGGTGAACCTCATACGTGCTTTTGGGCAAGAGGTTGCCACTAGTTGCTCCATCTGTGGTAGAAAGCGTTCTACCCAACGAAAATTTGGGGAAAAGTTAGAGCCGGTCTAAAAGACGAGAATTAACATTAAAGTCAATGGGTAAATGTTTAGTGATCTGTGGCCATATAGACTGCATGGATTGTACTGTATTATTGTCAACGACATAAGCGACTTTTAATAAATAACGCAATCGCCACACTTGTCGTTGCTATAGCAGATCTTACATAGGTTACATAACAAATACACAGTGAATACGAGAGCTATTAATAACAACGAAACTAACTCAGTCAGGTTTCAAAGTATCGGTGCAATTCGATGCGCGAGAGACGTCTAGTGAAGTGGTTGATTCTGGGAAGTGAACCAAGTCTGACGTCTGTATAAGCTCTTTCACTGTCCATGCCTTATTACTAGTAAAAGATGGCTAGAATATTATCACTGACGTGTTCACTTATTATCGTATACCTCTGTACGGCAGGTAAGTAAAACAGTAAATATGCACCATCGATTTGTCAACAATATCATTGTGATGGCAGAACGTTTTCATAAGCTTAGATAGTGAAAGTAGCGGACATGTTGAATATTTTCACTGCTTTTGAATTTTGATTTCAGGAACTTAAGATATATGAAATGGTTTAACATCCTATATTTCTGTACTATTCAGGCTATTAAAGGCCGAAATGAAATGGAATGGGGTTTAACGTCCTACTGTTCTGCTCCGATTGGGCTAATGAAAACGGGCATACGCCATACAGTGTGCTATGAGGGAAATTTTGCCTGGGCAGCAGCACTACGACCTACTCTTATATCGAATTCCAACTCCCAAGGGATCTTTTACGTGCACGCCAATGTGTACACCAGCACACCTAACTTTACGAAATCGGTTGGAGCTGAATCACAGTCAACTGCCAAAAGAGATTCTAATTGTCCCCCACCCCATGCTAATCTGAAGTACCTGAATATAGGTCAAGCACTCTTTGAAATCAATAATCGATTACGCAAGCTGGATATCATTGAACGACAGATCGGAAACATGGCCAAAGATCTTACCTTAGTGAGGAAGGAAGTAACCACTAATACAGATCGAATCAAAGATGTCGAGGTCAAATTTAATAGTATTGAAAATAGTCTGCAATTCCAGTCTAACTCTATTGATAAGTTGCAGGATAGTAATAAAATTCTCTAAAAAATTAAACATGCATTATGCAAGAGCTAAATCTGCCTATTGCAGGTCTTTCTTTAGGCCTGAAATGTTTTCTAAAGTATTAATTAGACATTAATTAACTGATCCAGGCCTTAATCAACTCTCGATGGCATTAGATTTCTCCGATATTAAATAGATTAGAATGGTTCAGCGATACTCTGATTTAATCAAATATGGAGGCCCGACACTTAGCTTCGATCAACCAGTACGGTGGTTGAAATTATTGCACACGTCTGTTTAACCTTCAAAGGCTAATATCTTCGCTTGCAATAGAGTAATTTCAATGAAATTTTCAAATTATTCAACTTAATCATCTACTTTCGAACTATTATAACAAGAATGGCCAGTTATTTATCTAAATCTTACATAATGTATCTTTAAGTAGTGTTCAGTCTGATAATCGTCACCTAAAACAAAGTGTCATTGACCTAAAGTGTAGAGAGATGCGGAACAATCTCTTATTTTTTTAATATCAAGGAAATGCCACACGAAGATTGTCCAGCGGTAGTTCACACGAGTTCATTAAAACCAAACTAACTATACCCAATTCTGAAACAAGAATTAAATTTGATCGTGTTCATAGGCTTGGAAAAAGGCGAAACACTCGGCAAAATACCCCCGATGATAATAACGCTGATATAATGCCACACGAAGATTGTCCAGCGGTAGTTCACACGAGTTCATTAAAACCAAACTAACTATACCCAATTCTGAAACAAGAATTAAATTTGATCGTGTTCATAGGCTTGGAAAAAGGCGAAACACTCGGCAAAATACCCCCGATGATAATAACGCTGATATAGTGCTGCCGAAGTACTGTTTTCTGGGGGTTGTAGCTTATTCCAACACTAACGACGAAAACTCAGATAAATAGTTAAAATTGTACTTTTAATAAACGAGTGTCCAAAACTGGCTAACGGTCACAATAACGAGATAGGTATCGCTGCGGCGAGCCGGTCACCAGACTAAAGTTACAGTATAATATAGAACATATATACAAGATTAGGATTAAAATAATTATATAATAATATTTGATCAGAGATGTTAAATTGTACATAGGAAACAGATGTTTAAATACAGAAGAAGATATCGACATAGCAAGAACGTGTGTTAACTATAATTACGTAATATATATCGTTACATTAAGTTTAAACCCAGACAGTTAAAAGACTCGAAAGATTAGTGAGATATCAATTCGGACATTGGTCGATTTCTACCATAACTAAAATTATATCATAAAATATATACAAAGATACACTATAACAGTGCCAATTGAATTGGTTGCTGACAAAGATTTCAGACCGATTGTCGCTAAATTTAATTATTTCCCCGACAGAGAAGAAATACGTAAATGTGGATACCTATTGAAAGATACAGGGTTCGGCATTGGTGAACAATTTCCTAGGGAGGTTGTGGCAAAACGGAAGGAATTACTAGCAGTGTTTAAACGGGAGAAGGCTAGAAATAATGTTGCGCGGAAAAAAAAGTCACAGAAAAAAAAGTCACAAATTTGCCTAGGTAAAAAAAACACAGGAAAAAAAGTCACAGTTTTTTTTATTACATCTCAAATTAAATAACAATATAAACAATAACATACATATTTAACCTTTCATTACACATATGTTCATAACACAGATGTAACCAGACTGTTTTAGTCTTTAGAAATCAGCACATTTTGATATAATAGCACATTTGACGTATTAGCACATATGGCATAAATTGTATATAAATGGTGAGTTATATAAACCTAGATAGGACAGGTTTGGACGTCAGCTTACAATTTTATGCTGGAATATTAATGGTGGATTGCCGGGAAAACTTAATGACCAAAATTTCTCTGAATATTTAAGTAAATTTAGCTTAATTTTTGGCATTCATTCCGGTAAAAACGTGAAGCGATGTACCTTACCAGATTATGACAAACACTTAAAGATACATTAGTTAAGATTTTAATAAAGAGTTGGTCATCCTTGCTATAATAATTCAAAAATAAATGATAAAAAAAAAGAAAATATTGAAAATTTCAGCCAAATTACTTCATTCTGAGCCAAATAATCACTGTTTATTGTTTTGACAAGATGTGTGCATAGTTGTAATTAGCGCACTGGTATATTCGCGACTTAGCCTCGCTTTCCCATTTTTAAATTAAATTTTTAAATGGCGAACCGTTCTAATCTAGTTAAAATCGCGAGTATCCGATGCCATCGATAGTCGATTATGGTCTTGGTTTGTTAATAAATGTCTAATTAATAATTTAGATAACATATAAGTCCTAAAGAAAGACCTGCAATAGGCAGATTTAGCTCTTGCATAATGTATGTTTAATAGTCTGATCAAAATGGAGGTGGTATTGTTGTGTTTAGTAAAAAGTCTTTGAACTCAAACTTTAGTATTATAGAGCAACATGATTTTGGAATTGTTGTTTGTAAATTATCTGATTTATTACTGAATGTAGACTTATTTATATGTTGCATTTATATACCTCATGAAAGATCTAAATTTTATCACATATATGACATAGATTTCTTCAATATAATACAATCCCTTTATGTAAAATATAATTCAACTTGTGTGGCGACTTTAATAGTAGAATAGCCAACCTTACCCAATATATTACTTTTGACACTTTCAAAGCCAATTTTTGTGATTTTGATAATATAAAGACTGTACGAAAATCGGAAGACACGATTATTAACAGTTTTGGGAAGAGAGAGAGAGAGAGAGAGAGAGAGAGAGAGAGAGAGATTGGGTTTGACGCCCACTCGACACAAACTAGGTCATTTCGGGACTAACACATGGTTTAATTTTATTTCAATAATTCTCTTGCGCGTAGGGGTCTTTAGCAGTGGGGGGAAACCGGAGGACCCAGAGAAAACCCACGAGGCTGGACAGGCGACCCTACTCCTTGTCACGTACAACCGGGGATTCGAAACCACGCCAGTTGACTCAATGACAGGCCTTGTGATACAGCACGCACGTGCATTTTTTTTTTCTTGTAAATATGTTTATTCATGTAATATGATACATTATGGTTACATAATATAAACAGTTTGCTTAATCTATACAATATTTACAATCATATCAAGACATATTCATAATAATCAAACAATTATTTACACTCAATTACTCGTGATTTTAAAAACATATTTTTGAAGTTTTATGAGTATTTTTTATAATAGAGAGTATATACAATTTAAAAGTAGTTATTTACAGTTAAAACTTTAAAAATCTAGGGTAATTGAGTTATTCAACTCAAAGCTAATTACACACGAGGGTAATATAAAGTTTGACATGAAATTGATATTATTGATTTTACAATATTTACTGGTGTTATACAATGCTGTTTTAAACTCTAATCTAAATAATTTGATTACATCAATCACAGCATTTGGGTTATCACGACATCTCATTCTACGTTTATATATCGCCCGTTAAGGTTAATGAGTTCAGGGTGTGACGGTGTGTTGGCCTGCTCGCCAAGCAATAGACAGGTTGAAAGCAGCTGGCAGGTCAACACATCGTCTGCTACAGATTTAATCAGTGGTTTAATCTGTGATCTGGACATTTTACAAACATATGTTTTAAAGTTTCACAATTTGTTTGACACTCAGGACATAAATCAGAATCTACTTTATTTATTTTAAATAGCCTTTCCATAATCCATACTATATTATGTGCTATATAATATTTGAATCTGGTTTCTTTCCCTCGACATGGTCAGAGGGAGTGATAGTTCCCGTCCCTAAAAAAGGTGATCTTAAAGACCCTAATAATTACCGAGTAATAACATTGATATGTACTTTAGGCAAACTCTTTTCGATTGTTTTACACCGACGAGTATACGGGTGGGCGAAGGAAACCAACATTCTGTCTGTATTTCAATTTGGTTTTCAGCACAAATAAAAGTACCACTGACTGCATATTTATTTTATACGCTCTTGTGTCTAAATCGTTGTCGAATGGTGAACGTTTATATTGTGCCTTCATAGACTACAGTAAGGCCTTCGACAATATCGACAGAAACTTGTTATTCCATAAATTGAGTAAAAATGGTGTTAGTGGAAAAGTCATACGAGTTATTGAGTCCATGTATGAAAATTTTAAGCTATGTGTTACTCGCAATGGCCAACATTCGGATTATTTCAATTCTAGATGTGGTGTTAAACAGGGAGATAGCCTCTCTCCACTACTTTTCCTTTTCTATCTTGGATTTGATAGCGGTTATAATTAACTAATATTCTCTTACATCGGAGACTTGTGTTGCGTTCAGTTCA